GCGTATGCCACTTGTTCAGGGTCTTACAATCCACCATCACCACAAAAGTCTCACGCCCTCGTCAACTTAACTTCTTAGTAGTCTTCGTTCATTTAAACATCTCTTTGCTTCTCTTAAACCACTTCTCCATTGATCTCCTCCACAGACTTGTCATCACTTGACTCAATTAGGATCACCTCTATCTCGGACGCTTCCATAGGCTCTTCTTCATTGTCACTTGAGATCATAATTATCCCTGCCATAGTCTCCACCATAGGCTTATCTTCCCTTTTTGGCTCTTCCTTAGCCTCGAGGTTTTCACCACTTTCCCCAAATGTAGCATCCCTTATAATGCTATCAATTACTGAGCTCACTCATGGCTAATTCTTCTGACTCGCTTTCCGAAAGGTCTGAAATAGAAGAAACAGATTGAGTCACATTTTCCATCAACTCATCAAACCACTCCTCTAAGTCTATGTGCCTTATGGACATATAGGCCAACTTGAAATCGAACTCATCTAGCACATCCACATAAATGCTAAAGTCATCTTGAATGGTACCTGTATTGTGCATGTGACTATGCAGCACACAAGCCCTTGCCACAAACTCCTATCCAGCAAGTAGATCCTCCAAGTATCAAAGCAATGCGCTAACACTGCAAACTGCATCTCTTCTAGCCCACAATTCTGATCCCAATTCGGCTCCATGTTTTCAATTGCCTCTATTAGCATACCTCCATGCACCAAAGAAGCATCAATGAAAATCTCTGCAGGTTCTATGGCAAACACATCTATGAACACCTCAATCACCTGTTGCTCAATCGCATCCTCTCCCAAATGGTCTTCCTCTAGGATAACTCTTAGTGAATTTAATAAAACCATTGGACTCACCTGGAGACTAATGCCCTCTTTAGCACCTCCATCTCTCTCTGTCACAATTGCATTCAAGTTCTGCCTCCTTGGACAGTCCTTCACACAGTGGGGTCCTTGGAAAAGAAAGCAACCTTAGAACTTCTTCTTGTCTTTTGCTCCTCGCCCTTAGTTCCATCTGGAACAACCCTAATCTCCTTCCCTTTATTGACTGCCTTGTTGTCCAAATGTCTCTTCCCATTGGAAGTGACTGCTACTTTGTAACCCATTAGTCTCCCAGCTGTAGCAATGGCGGAATTGAGACTCCTCACATCTTGTCTCCTTAATTTTTGACTGTGCCTAGGGCTGCAAATTCGTGAGGAAGTTAAAAAAAATTCCCTCCTCTGGCATATTTGTAATGGAATTGGAGTGGGGTTCATATTTCCTTAGCATGAATTAAATATATGGAATTAGTGCTATTTTCCTTTGACTATAAGTCTAAGAATTTCTGATCTCAAGTTATGTTAAACTTTCATAAAAGGACCAAGAAGCTTAAGGAACCATGTAATAAAATCCAGTCCATTAGGACTGGGGATTAAGTCGTAATTAGAAAATAAGAGGGAAAAGAATTTTCAATTTACATTATATAGAAACAATTGCTGCTTCCTTATTGTGGGTGTGATTGACACTTGTATGGCTTAAATCTTTTGTTTTCTCTGGTCCTTTTCTGTATACTGTTTTATAGTGTTTGGCAGGAGTTTGGCCAGAGTTAGAGAGCTTCAGTGATAAAGGATTAGGGCATGTGCCAAAGGAGAGTGTTACTGGTGAGAATTTTTATTTTTATTCTTTATTTAACATATAATATCACTAGTCATTTGGCTTTGTTTGGTGATCTCATTATCCAATGCTAAAAATATTTTTTCTTGTTTGACATAGATGGACAAATAACTGCGGGAAAATCTACAGGGAACTTGTAATCTCTCTTTTTGATAAGGATGGTGAAGACGAAATCTTGGAATATAGGTGTTCAAAACCTAATGATGAAAATGAAAGTGAATATGGCTTGGCCAATGTTTCTTAGGGAATCTGTAAAATTAAGTTCGATCTTCTGTTTCTTTATTTCAGTTAAGGCATGTATTATGTCTTTGATTCCTCATAATGTATTTTTTCATCCAAAATAATATTTATATGTTTTCAATTCAGGATCATAACCATTTATATGTAGGTGTGCTTGAATCAAAGGATAAGGTTTTGCATTTCAAGGAAGCTGTATTTATATGCAAGTCACTGGAAGACCTGAAAGCTGCATTTAAACACCTTATTCGGTTGGAAGAGGGCTTTGAAGACTATTGACATAGGATATCTCTTAGGATTCTAATGAGTTTTTGAAATTTCATATATTGGTCTTTTCCTAATGATAATATATATTATTTTTCGGACAACAATTTCTCATTGGAAATATTTTTTATATTTCTTTTACAAAATATTCGTACATTCCGACGATTTTTTACTCTGGATAATTGGAATAAATGTAGTCAGAAAAACATTTAGTTCGACACACTTCCATGTTGGAAATGCACAATTTCGACAAATTATATTGATCACAAATAGTAATTTATGGTCGAAAATATATAGGGTCGCATAAGTGTTTGGGCCAAAAGAGAAATTCACAAGCACAAGCCCATCTAGGCAAAGAAAGGCCCACAAAACATAGGACTAGGCTTTGATTCAAAAAGTGAGGGTCCAAAAACACATCAGAGGCCCACATTTTTTACGAAATGGCAGAATTGTAAAAAACGCCAATTTAAATGGCAAAATTGACCACCGAGTAGATCGTTAAAAATCTAGGGAGAAGAATTTTGATTAGGTCCAGCTTCTAAATCCCCAAAGAAGTCCAGGAACAAGACAAAAAAAAATTTCTGAAAAAATTTGTTCTCAAGAAGACCCACGTGACTGCCCGGAAAAACTTTGGAGAGTCAACATTTTCAACTGAGTTGATAACAGAGTTAATAAGGGCAGGTTTGAAAAAGACATCTCTGAAAATCTCTGCCACTAGAAGATCAAAATCCCTTTTATATACTCAGAGAAAATTTTGCTCCAAAGAAAGGCACCAGTTTCAAGAGATAAGCAGACTGTGTTTTTGAGATAAGTAGCAAGCAGAGAGTTGCTCAGACGTAAAATCAAACTAACCATCACAGTTTGAGCTTTTACAAAAGTAGTTGGAATTAAAGAAGAGGGGTTAGGTTTTCTTTCAAAATAAAAAATAAAAAAAAGGAAGTGACGGCCTTAGGAACTGACTATGGAAGGCTTGTCTGCCAGAATTGATAAAACCCCTTTTTCTTTGCATTTTAAAAATAAAATATCTTTTTTCAGAAAATCTGCCACCCATTTTTAAAGGATTAGAAATCTTACTCCAGCATTTCCTATAAATATAAGAGAGGGTGAACAGAGCAAAGGACAATAAAAAACAACCAAAAACTCAGTCAAAAGACAAAAACTCAAAATGATCACTTGATCTCAAAGAATCTTCAAACAAACTGAAGCAACCAAAAGCTTATTATGCCATAAGAAAGAAGCCAGCTACAAATCGAACTTCCAGTTTCAGACTTAGAAAAAGTCATTTAAAACGAGACTTCTCTCGTTACAAATTTGGTTCAACAAAAGCCAAAACAAGCAGAGTCTGGGTTTTTACATATATGAAAACTTCAACAAATTTATGGAGAGCCCTGACCAAGCAGAACAGGTACCACAGTGCAGTTCCACCTCAGTAATCCACAAGTCCAGCCACTTCTGCCCCTTTCAGACTGAAGAGGCAGCAATTCTGCCTGTCCAAAAAGCCTTCCAGGGCTTGAAATAGATTAAAGCTCTACCAAAGTCGAACGTGGTATCGATTTATAGCTGAAGCTTAGAAGTTGAAGCTGTTGACAGTCCAATCCAGCACAGGCATACACAGTCGATCTTCGATCAGAAGCTTCTATCCAGGCATAAATGGAAGTCCAGCCTTCTTTTTGTCTTTCTAGAGTTGATTTTTTCCTTTTGAGTTTTGTAAAAGGCAGTTCCGCCTAAAAACAGTTCATTTTCTTACTACTTATTCTGGCCAGAACTACCAACCTTGTATTGTGAAAAATTATGAAGTCCTCATCAGGGTGAGACAAGAAAAGAACTTACTTGGGAGATATTCCTCACCCAAATTCACATTCGCTTGTTTAGAAATCAATAACTTAGGGCGCAAGTTATCTATTTCAGAGTCTGCTAGGATTTTTCATTGCTAGTAGTGGCACGCTTGCACACTAAAGAAAGTTGACTTGTTGAACAGTCAATGGTTTTCAAGGCAATGAGAAACTTTACCCTACCATCACAGGAACAGACATCAAAGGGGTGAACAATTTGGCACGCCTAATGGGACTTCTTAGTATACATACTCCTAAATAAATTTTCTAAAAGTATATGGATATTGGAAGTTCTAGCCAGACCCACGCTGTGCAATGGAAAGAAAGTGATGCTAGGCAATCATCCCATGGTAGTACCAGGACCAGACGTTCCAGGTCTGCTTTAGGAGGTTGAATTAGATACATGAAGCTGTATTCCGACAGGAGGCCACAACACAAAGGAGCCAGGATACTCTGAGTAACATGACAGCCATGATGCAATGGCAAGTCAACAAGCAGTTCAGGAATGATCGAGAGGCTACTATGGCCAGGATTCCAAACCCAGATGTTGTGGTCCAGCAGCTAGACCTCCCTTACGGCCCTTCACCAGGATTGGCATGGCCATATAAAGAGAACCTTCTCATCGCACAGATAGCTGGAATACCAAGGCATGGAGAGATCCAAGCTGGACAGAGGGGAGGAGCCATTCCCGTCCAGGAGCATGTGGTTCCAGTCCGGCCAGAAGGCCCTGCACCAGTTCAGGTTCCCCAGAATCAGCCAGAACCTCCACATATTCCACAACCTGTGGCCCCACGTGATCAACCTTTGGCACTTATGCCTGAGGGACCAGTTGTGTTGCCCTACAGACCCATTCCCTCCATCATCAAGGGGCAGGAAAGGCAGATGAGGAATCAACCCCTTTGCCAACAATGACAGAAATAGGCTGGGGGCAAACTGGAGGAATCATCCAGATTTTGAAGAAGAGGAAGAACACAGGGAGGAAGCTTTACCCAGGCCATACAGAATGGAGCACAGGATTGACCACGTCCAGCCAGAACAGGGGCGAAATCCGCACCCTGTCAATGCTTTGAATGACATAGGGGCACTACAGAGAATGATCAGGGAAATGATGGAGCCTGAAGCTAGAAGAGGAGATACCTCTATCCCAAGGTTTCAAGGTGCCAAATTTCACCTTGTTCAACGGAGAAGATCCCCATGCTTCATCAATTGAGCATATAGGTAGGTTATCTGTCCAGTGCATAGCCATAGAAAATAACCCTCTGTTAAAGCTAAGGCTTTTTGGGAATTCCCTCTCTGGACAAGCCTTCATCTGGTACACTAGTCTACCAGCTAATTCTGTTCAAACCTGGGAGCAAATGGAAAATGTTTTCCATGACTACTATTTCAGGATCCAGCTAGAAGTTACTATCAGTAATCTTGCTGCCCTCAAACATAATGAAGATGAGCCTGCTAAGGACTTCATAACCAGATTCAGAAAGCTCAAGATGAAATGTCGGATCCCTATGGAAGAAAGGCACTTCATCTAGATGGCTTAAACAGCCCTCAAAATCTCTCTGAGAAAAAGATTTGATGGGATGCAGTTTGGAGACCTGGCAGAATTGGCAGACAAAGAATCTAAATATGAGGAACTGCTCATGGAATAACAACAGAAGAGGAACTCTTTCAAAGGCACATACTACAAGACCTCGTCTTCTTCAGTCCATCTGGTTGAGGCAGAATCAGAAGAAGACACAGAAGGCTCGGAGGAAAGAGAAATTGCAGTGGCAAAAATGGCAAAGTTGAAACATCCCATCAACTGCAAGGCTCTTAGAAAGCCGCCAAAGGATCAAAAGCCACCACAGTTCACAGGATAGTTTGTTCCAAACAAACCAACATATAACAAGGTCTATTCCTTCGATCTAACCAAGGTTGATGCTTTGTTTGATGAGATGCTGCTACAGAAGGCAATAGAGACACCCCACAGGTTACCCAAGTTAGAAGAACTCAAAGGCAGACCGTATTGCAGTTGGCACAACTCTTGGAACCAGTCCACCAACAACTGTGTTATTTTCAGGGATGTCATACAGGAAGGAATAGCAGCAGGAAGGCTAAAACTGGCGGAGAAACCTCCATCAGTTACAACATATCCCTTTCCCCAGCCTCAAGTCAACATGGTTAACTTAAATTAGCCAGAATAGAAGAGAGGCAAACTAACAACAGAAGCTAGCTCCAGCAGAGGCAAAAGAGTTATAAGGAAGGCTAATCAAAGGCCAAAGGAAACTATCTCGACTGGGGTAGTATTGTGCAACAAGTGCAAATGTGAAAGTGAGTTAGAAGTAACTCTGGACAGGCAGAATCAGCCCGCACCTAGCGTTTTTGATAGGATTGGAACATCATACCAACAAGGCCCGGTTCAAGCTCTATCTAAAGACAGAGCCAGGCAAAAGAACTATCTAAGGCCTACTCAACGCAACAAAAGAATGACAGAGCAAAAAAAGAAAGAAATGCCAATCAGGATGCCCGGAAATGACAAACCTTTGGCAACGATCATAGAAGGCAAATGGTATTATGTTGGAAAAAGCAGTAGACCAACTCTGGAGTTAACCAGAACTCAGAACAAACGACTTGTTAGCCACAAAAGCAGATAAAGACAGAATCTCCAAGCAGACCTTCCATCCATCCTGCCTCATCCTTAGTAAATCAGCTTGAACCTTCACAAATACAAGGTGAATCCGAACCTATTCCAATAGAATGTCAAGAAGACTGGACTAAAGAGTATGAAGAGGAGCAGTTAGACTATGAACCATCTGTAGATGACCAGATTGGACTTCTCGAAACAGAAGAACAAGAAAACGGGACAGAAGAGTATGAGGAAGAACAGATGAAGTATGATGGAGAACTAGATGAAGAAACTAAGGTTTTGGTGCAGAATTTGAGAGTTTATTGCAAGGTGATCTTGCCAGAGAAATTCAAGGCGGCAGAAGAACAAGAAAACACACTGGAGGGAAAGTTTTGAGTACAGGTTGGCAGAGGTAGAGGAGGCACTAGAATAGCAAAGACCTATTGTCAAAACAGGTGGAATTGCCATGAAATTGGCTGCAGAACAGCTTTGTTTCTCCAAACCAACCAAGGAGATGGCCAATCACCTCAGACCTCTGTTTATAACAGCAAACTTTGGGGGTATTCCTATTCCCAAAGTAATGGTAGATGGAGGTGCAGCCATTAATCTTCTGCCTCACAGACTGCTGACCAAGATGGGCAGAACATAGAAGGATTTCATTCCAACACGCTTGACTATCACCAACTTTGCTGGGAGCATCACTAAGACTCATGGAATCCTAGATGTGGACGTCATAGTTGGAACCAAGGAGCTAAAGATTGCGTTTTTTGTGGTAGACACCACTTCTACCACTTAAAATGCATTGCTTGGCAGGGACTGGACCCACCAAAGCCTATGTGTTCCTTCTACTCTGCATAAGCAATTAGCCTTTTGGAATGAAGAAGGTTTCATAGAGATAATAGAGGCCGACCCACGACCATTTCTGCCCTCTACCATGTGTTTTAAGGCAAGGTATTATCATGATGACCTTGGTCCTTTCACCTTCCTTGGAGTCAACCAAAACGGCCACCCTATAGTGTCACGTCCCAAAGACTCATTGAAGATGGTTTAGCCAGTTCTCTAGAGGACTAGAATAGACCTTTTATTCTAAACCTCCAGAACTCTGATGTTTAGTCTCAATCAACAAGAAAAGGATCGAGCTGCAACACTCCGATCCATTACAAAAAGATTGTTAATATATTGGGAAGAAAGGAAGCTCTTCATGCAGAATCCAGCCATTAATATGGCAGAGTTCACTCATAAGAGCACTGAAGAACATAAAGAGAGTTTACAGGAGGAGTACTAGATTTTGCACCAGCAGCACTGGATGACTCTTTGCCAGAAGTGGAAGATCCATTACAGGAGATAAACTTAGGGACAGAAGATTATCCAAGATCAACTTTCCTTAGTGCACTATTAAAGGAACCACTCAAGAATGAAATCATTGCACTTTTGCATGATTTTAGGGACTGTTTCTTGGCATTATCATGAGATTCCTGGACTAGACAGAAAATTGGTAGAACACAAGCTGCCAATTAAAGAAGGCTATCTTCCAGTCAAATAGGTCAAAAGAAGAATGTCTATGGAAACAGAATTGAAAGTCAAGGAATAAATAGAAAGACTGGTTAAGGTAGGATTCATCAGATCAGCCATTTATGCTGATTGGTTAGCCAATATTGTCCTAGTTCTGAAAAGAAAAAGATGGGCAATTAGGATATGTGGAATGAACCATCTCCCAAGGATGAATAACCTATGCCAATGGCAAATATGCTAGTAGATGGAGTTGCTCATAACCAAATGCTATCTTTTATGGATGGCAATACATGATATAATCAGATTATGGTAGCAGAAGAAGACATCCATAAGACAGCCTTCATGTGCCCAGGACATATAGGTGTTTTTGAATACACTATAATGCCTTTTGGTTTAAGGAATGCAGGAGCCACTCATTGAAGAGCAATGAATTCTGTTTTCCATGACATGATAGGCCATTCTTTGGAAGTGTACATAGATGATGTGGTGATTAAATCCCCAGAAGAGGGAGATCATGTATCAAACTTGAGAAAGGCATTCCTAAGAATGAGACAACATAAGTTGAAAATGAACCCAAAAAAAAGTATTTTTGGAGTTCAAGCAGGGAATTTCTTAGGTTTCTTGGTCCACCAAAAAGGGATAGAGATCGATAAAAATAAAGCAAAATCCATCATAGAAGCTCTACCACCGCGGAACAAAAAAGAGTTGCAGAGTCTCCTAGGAAAAATCAACTTTCTAAGGAGATTCATATCCAATTCTGCAGAAAAATCCAGCCTTTCTCCTCCTTGCTAAGATTGAAGCAGGAACAAACATTCAAGCGGGAGAAACAACACCAGTAGGCTTTTGAGGAAATCAAACACTACCTCTCAAATCCACCAGTTCTGTCCCCACCAAAGAGTGGCAGACCACTCAAACTATATGTTTCTGCATCAAAAGTGTCTATTGGGAGTCTGCTAGTTCAAGATAACGAAGAAGGAAAGGAACATGCCGTTTACTATTTGAGTAGAACTTTGATAGAAGTAGAAAGGAAATATTCTGCAATTGAAAGGCTTTGTCTAGCCTTATACTTCACTACTGTAAACCTCAAACACTACATGCTGTCATTCACCATTTACATCGTTGCCAAGACAGACCTAATCAAATACATGTTAACAAGGTCAATGCTGAGAGACAGAATTGGCAAATTGATTCTGGCTTTGACAGAATGTGCTTTTAGATATGTTCCTCAGAAAATTGTCGAAAGACAAGCTGTAGCAGACTTCCTAGCAGATCATCCAGTGAAAGAGATTGAAAATATGGATTCTTTGGATATAGCAAATGCAGACCTATTGACTAGAGCTCATACTTGTCTTAACGATCCCATCTATGCAGTTCACCTTACACCTTGGAAACTGTACTTTGATGGATCAAAGACTGATGTAGCCTCTGGGGCAGGGATTGCTTTGGAGAAGCCACTAGGGATCAGACACTGTTATTCTTTTCAGCCAGACTTCCAAGGCACCAATTTAATCATTCGACTAGAAATGCTGGTGGAGTTAGGAATCCAGTTTGTGGAAATCTTGGGAGATTCTATGCTTGTGTTAAAACAGATTGCTAGAGAATACAAGTGTCTAAATCCTTCTCTAGCTGTCTATCTAGTGGCAGCCAGAAACCTATTGACAGAGTTCAGGGAAGCTACTTAGGAACATATCTCAAGAGAAGAAAACTTTGCAGCCAATGAATTGGCTCAGGCAGCAATAGGTATACAAATGCCTGAGGACTGTGTGCAAAGGATTATCAAGGTAGAAAAGAAAAATCTACCATCTGTTCTAACCAGAGGAATGGAGATAGATGTCAATTTTTTCATAATCACTGAAGATGATTGGAGAATTCCCATCATAAATTACTTGCAGTATCCAACCCTGCCTTCTGAGAAAAGAGTCAGAATCATGGCTTTGAACTACCTTATGTGGAATGAAGATTTGGTCCAAAAAAGCAAAGATGAGGTACTTCTAAGGTGCCTAGGAAAGAAAGAATACATGAAGGTCATAGGCGAAACAGATGAAGGAATCTGTGGAGCTCATCAAGGTGGAAAAAAAATGTGCTGATTAATTAGAAGGTATGGCTACTTGTGGCCAACCATGATGAAGGATTGCATTAACTATTCCGAGGGATGTGAGGCTTGTCAAAGGCATGGCCCAATCCAGCAAGCTCCTTCAGTCCCCATGAATCCAGTAGTAAAGCCATGACCATTCAGAGGATGGGCAATAGATCTCATCGGCAAAATTTATCTAGTAAGTAGCAAACAACATTGTTTCATCATTGTAGCTACATACTATTTTACCAAATGGGTGGAGGCCAAACCTGTTAAATCTACTACATCTCAAGAAATCATCACCTTCATAGAGGAGCAGATTATACAAAGGTTTGGCATTCCAGAATCAATCACAACTGACAGTGGATCTTCTTTCATATATGGGGAAATGCTAGATATGGCAGAAGCATTAAAATTCAAACTACTTCAATCCGCTCCTTACTATGCTCAAGCTAATGGACATGCAGAATCAAGTAATAAGGTGATCATCAACATTATCAGAAAAATGCTTGAGAAAAATCCAAAGCAATGGCATGAGAAGTTATCAGAAACTCTGTGGGCATATAAGACTTCAAAGAGAGAAGCAACTGGCATGACCCCATATGCTCTAACTTATGGTCATGATGCAATTCTGCCTATGGAAATAGCAGTCCAATCTTTCAAAGACTACTCTCAAGCCATGCTGCTAGAACTAGAAGGATTGGATACAAGTAGAATTGACACCCTCAACAAACTCTTAGCAGGAAAACAGGCTGTGTCAAGAGCCTACAACAAAAGAGTTAAAAACAAGAGTTTTGAAGAAGGAGAAAAAGTCTGGAAAGCAATTCTGCCCATTGGAACACACATAGCTGGTTATGAAAAGTGGTCACCTACATGGGAAGGACCTTTCATAATTAAGCAAATCTTTGGATTGGGGGCATACAGATTACAAGATCGAGATGGATATGTTCATGATGTACCAATTAATGACAAATGGTTGAAGAAATTCTATCCAACCATGTGGGATTCCCAGGCTGTGCAAACAGATCTTGGAATTGAACTAAAACAAGATAGAATTGTTGTTTAAATTTTGCTCAAAGAGCTGTGCTTTCAAATTTTTTTTGTGTTTGTTCCCTACGTTCCTTTATTTTCATTTAAATTAGAAGAAATTGAAAATGCAAAAGTTTCACCAAAAATAGTTTTTATATTAAATATAGTCATTATCCATGACTAAAGTTTTATTCTGCCATGGCTTTAATATAGTCCAATATAGTCAACTACCCTGTCTAGTTGAGCATCCAGATCCATGGCTTCAAATTCTGCCAGCTCTGGATCAGCAAATGAGGTAGTAGCTAGTGAACTAGGGATGGAGTGGATAGGCATCTACAAAAGAAATAATTTCTGTAAATTCCATGCGAAAAATTAAATTAGAAGATAGCTAAAGACACAGTGATACTTACAGCCACAATATGAGGCTTAAGAGGACTGGTCATCACAGCCAAAGTCCCAGCAGTTCTGTCCTCCTCCACCTAAAAAGAAAGGAACCTCAATTAGAAATATAGAGGTAGACATGGCTGTAGAAACCAGACAAAATTAAGAAAGAATAGGAACTACCTCAGATGCTGGAATAGCAGCAGAATGTTCTGCCTCCACATCATCAATGAGAGCCAATTCTGAACTAGTGGGCTCTGCTCTTTGGGCCTCTTATTGTTTCTTCGCCAGCTCAATACTCGCTGCTATTATTTCAGCGGGAATTCCTGCAGAAAGACAAAACTCAAGTCAAAGGGAATGCAATACAAAAGCCAGGATGGTGCCAAAAGAAGGGATCTCTTGCTATAATCTCACCTCTTCTTCTCCATCTTTTGTCTTTTCTTTTTCTCCTTTCAAGACCTCCTTCTCCTATTCCACGGCTTCAAAGGCCTCTTGCAGCTCTTCATCAGTTTTTGTGGTCTCAGTAGGAACTGCTGCAGGCTCTTCTTTCCCTTCAAACTCACTAACAACCCTCTTTCTCAGTCTCTTTTGTCTCAGTGGGAACTGCATAAAGAAAGAAAGTCAAAAATGAGTGCAAAACTGAACAAAAGGGATTGATAGAATTAAATACCAAAATTATACCTAGGGGATTAGGCTAGACAGCACTATCCTGAGCCTGGGTGACTTCTTTTCTTTTGTTCTTTCTGGCAGAAGAAGTTGTCTCAACACTAGCTTCTGCCAAAGTCTCATAATCATCCTCTTCGTCACCAAAAAGAAGCTCCAGGTCTCCAACAACAATAACAGAATTAACTACATAGAAGAGAAAATGGTTAGCAGACAGTCCAGCAAGAAACAAGCTTAAGGGTAGAGTTCGAAAACTTACCAACCACTTCCCCAGCTTGGACGAGTTGTCTCCCAAGATTGCTTGTCGTAGAAGGATTTGAGACAAACAGGCAGAATGGAGTTAAGACACATCTCAGAATACAGAAATCCAAAACAAAGGAGCAGAGACAAATAGGCATTTATGCCCTTAACCATCTGCACTATGAATTTTTGGCTTCTGGTTCTGCCAGGACAGTCCTAGCATCCCAAGTTTTAAACAGTGTCTTCACAGCAGTACTAGCATCTGACAAACTAGCAAACCGAGCTTTCCACAAAGAACTGCAGGAGTTAGGCTCCCAGGATGGATAGAAGGCGTCCACACTATTATTAATCTTGTTCACCGAGCACCTGCAGTCCTTGTGCACATCTAAATCATCTGAATCCCTCCACGAGGTAGCACGATTACAGCTTCTATAAGATTTCAGAGGAATGAGCTGGGGACAGCCAAGCTGCCTGGCACAGAAGTTGGGATGATAGACTTCTGCTCCCAAATGGTAATTATGAGGCTTACCCTACCAAACGGCATATCCTAGGGTAGCGTCACACTCATAAACTTTTTTTTGAAATCAATTTTTGCTTCCTCATCTTCCGACTCCTTCTCAAAGAGTCTGTGTCCAGGGTGGAACCAAGGGTAAGTTCTTCTAAGTACCACTTGCCATTGAGCAGCGACCTGTTGGTGCAGTGCCTAAAAAACATAACGTATTCTTCAATAGAGCGCTTAGGCACCTCTGCCGACATCAAGGGGACCTCCATAACCTGGTCTTCAGGCAGAACAATGTTCAAAAACCACAGTTTTGGGAAATAAACCTGCAGCCAGATCTGGATCATCCAGAATGCACCAGGTGCAAAGATATTTAGTGGATTCTCCATAGTGGCGCTGTGAAGGTTCTTATACACATGAGCCAGAACTGTGGGGCCAAGCCCCACATCAGCATGGTTGTGCAAGGCTTCTACCAAGTGCTTGTATTCTAGTAGAACTGCTGAAGAGCGATTGGTCATGGCAGCAGAACTGCCAAGTGCTTGTATTCCAGACCTTAAACGAACCTATTCAACCAGCATAGGAGGAACAACATGTGCTGCTAATCCCTATCCTTTTAAGTACAAAACTTCTTTGGAAAATGAACAATTCTGATTAATCTTGGCAGCATGAATGATGAAAGGCTTGGCCAATCTCTCTCGATTCTTCCCTCTATGGCAGTCACCAACAGCATCAGCAGGCCTCCCGTGGGGCCTAAACCCAAATATTTTAGCCAGATCCAGTAGAGTCGGAATCATGGGACCTAGACGAAAATCAAAAGTATTGATGGCGGAATTGGAGAAGCATAAAGCAGCAGCTAGCAGGTTTTCATCTCTATTGACAGAATTCTTAGACAGAAGGATTGCGTCGTAATTTTCAGGCTTCTTTTAATAAGCTCCATGCCTCGGGAGAAGTCTGTCAATCCAATCAGACCACGTCACTATGCTGTTCCTCACTTCACTCGAAGGATAGGAATGACTCAAGTTCTTACTGACCCAAGTATGAGAAGCCAGAGCCGTAGAACTTTGAAAGCACAAAGGAGCCTCAGCATCTTCCTTGAACAAATTGGCCATTTCTTCCGTCACAAAGCCAAACCAGGGAGGACCTAGAACAAGGGTGTTTTCAAACAGATGAAGGACGTTCTGATCCAAATTCTTCCATGCATCTGGGTGAAGTTTACTATGAACCTCGATTGCATGTTGATCAACCCCATCTCCAATAAGATAAGCAGAAGATCGAGAGGAAGAGGAGCTCTTGGGACGAGTTTTTGGGGAAGACATTTTTCATTTCAAATGAAGAATGAAAATTGAAAAAATGAATGAAAGATTAGAGGTTTCCTTAGGAAAATAAAAGCTGAACCAGAATCGGGTTTTTAGATGAACAGAAACAGGGTTCTAAAAAATCACATAAAGAATTTGAAGAAAGATCGTGGAAAGGAAGAAAATTATCCAGATTAAAGGAAGAAAGTCTAGTTGAATAGGCAGACGTGCACTAGTGCAACAGCAAGAAATGGCGTGCATCATTAATGTGCCAATCATTAAGTCTGAAACCGTTTAAAAACGATTCAGACTTAAGGGGGCATTGTTTGGACCAAAAGAAAAATTCACAAGCACAAGCCCATCTAGGCAAAGAAAGGCCCACAAAACATAGGACTAGGCTTTGATTCAAAAAGAGATGGTCCTAAAACACATCAGAGGCCCATGTTTTTTATGAAATGGCAGAATTGTAAAAAATGCCAATTTAAATGGCAAAATTGACCACCGAGCAGATCATTAAAATTCTAAGGAAAAGAATTTTGATTAGGCCCAGCTTCTAAATCCTCAAAGATGCCCAGGAACAAGACAAACAGATTTTTCTGAAAAAATCTGTTCTCAAGAATGCCCACGTGATTGCGTGGAAAAACTTTGGAAAGTCAACATTTTCAACCGAGTTGATAAGAGAGTTAATAAGGGCAGATTTGAAAAAGACATCTCTGAAAATCTCTACCACCAGAAGATCAAAATCCCTTTTATATACTCAGAGAAAATTCTGCTCCAAAGAAAGGCTCAAATTTCAAGAGATAAGCAGACTGTGTTTTCGAGATAAGTAGAAAATAGGGAGTTGTTCAGACGGAAAATCAAACTAATCATCACAATTTGAGCTCTTACAAAAGCAGTTGGAATTAAAGAATAGGGGTTATGACAATACCTGCAGGATGTCTAAAAATGCCTAGAGGAGGGTGAATATGCTAATTTAATATTATAATCAAATAAGTAAAAATAAACTTTGGTAATAGGATTGATATGGCTTATCAATCCTAAAACTTGCTGAACATAAAATAAAGAAACAGGCAGAGAATTATTTTACGTGGTAAAACCCCACATCTTGTAAAAATCCACGAGACTCCTCAGTCCAACACAAATCCACTATAGAACGATGATTACAAGAAGTACTTACACACTTATCCTAGACGCATTCTAGATAATGTTTACCAACTTCTTCGTCACGGGATGATCTTAGACACTCCTTATGTTGAATGCAATACTGGCCACGATTGCTTCAAACCGCCACCACGGTCTTGGTGCCCTCAACCGTATGAGTCACCGATCAATGCAAATGAATGCAATATGAATGATTAAAGTGTTTGATAAATCACCAAGTAAACATGGAACACTTGATGATTTATCTCAAATATGTGCACAGTAGCTTTCTCAGGAATTTTAGATGCTCAAACAAACTATATGAAAACTGTACCAAACAAAGAAGCACAACATCTTCTTATACAAACCACAATCTCCTTTTTGCAAGAGAAGAGCACCAAGCCATGTGCTCAATCACTTGCCATTAATCATATTTGATTCACTTAGAATCTTACATCAATTCGTCAGCCCATGCAAAACTTCCTATCATGAATATAAGATTTAGATGCCTTGTGAATCACATACGCAAATTTCCTATTAGGTTCTAAGTAATGACGCCAAACAGGAGACCATAAATTCTATTCAATCATGAATATTAGATTTGATCCGATATGGACTCTAAGTGATTGACACCAAAATAGCCACTCTTTTATGGAGAAACAATATCTCATCAAACAAATTAATTACACCCACCAAAAATAATATTTTAACTTAAATCAAAATAGAGTCCAACTAGGAAAGTAATCTCAAGAGATAAAACCTAATCCTATTAAAAATAAGATTAACATAAAAATACTTGAGTGAAAAAACTCCAACTAG